TCTCCCTATCTTGGGCCAGCCAGTGAGGGCATTCCCCTGGTCATGGGGGACCCCTGGGGCGGGCTGGGGTGAATTCGGCTACTTGGCACCTTCTGGAGGGGGATTCACGCCTGGAATGACGCCTCAGCCTGAACAGCCCCACCTGAGTCCTGCTCTGCTCTGGACCTGGGGCCTGGCATGGGGGGTCCAAAGGGCTTGGCCCATGGCCCAGAATTAGCAATTGACACGTGGCCTCGCTCTCCCTCTGTAGAGTGGGGACACATGCCTCGGGGTGGTGGGGTGCTCCCCAGAGGGATGACGGGAAAGCATGTGACACACGCAGAGTGGCGAGTGGTATGGTGCAGGGGACTTCAAATGCCCTGAGATTGCCTGAGGAAGGTCGGGTGCCTGCCCGATGGGGCAGGGTGTGCCACACCTCCAGTGCAGCCCACGCTTTGAAGGCCCGTTTCAGAGCCCTGCTGTGTGCTGGGTGTTCCTGCTCTGGGACTAAGCCAGTGAAGAGGGTAGATGAGGGCTCTGCCCAAGGGGCTCCGTCTGTTTTTGGCAGAATAATGGCCTAAAATACTCATGCCCTAACCCCCAAGGCCTGCGGTCCTACATTACAAAGGGCCTCTGCAGGTGTGATCAAGTTACAGAACTCAAGATGGGGGCTCATCCTGGATTATCTGGCCAGGCCCAGTGTGATCAGGGGCCTCGGGGGTCAGGGAAAGATCTGGGTGATGGCAGAGAGGCAGGGATGCCAAGGAGCACAGCTCGGAAGATGGAGGAAGGGGCCAGGGGGGCAGTTCTAGAAGGCAAGGAAAGGGGTTCACCCTCAGAGCCTCCAGAAGGAACACAGCCCTCGATTTTAGTCCAGGGAGCCGTGCCAAACTCTGACGTCTGTGCCACTCTGCACCACGAGGATGGTGGTGCTTGGTTACCAGCTGCGAAGGCATCACGCCCCCACCTGACCTGAGAGGCTTCCAGGGAGGGGCTGGACTTCTGACCTGGGGCTGGCAGCACGGCTTGCAGCCTGAGAGCGGTCTCACTGAAAGCGGGTCCCTGCGCTGAACTTGGAATCTCGGACGTCTCACCAGTCTCCCAGACTGAAATGTATCACCATTGCCTCCACATTTTAACCTGGCTTACTGGCAATCTGAAACTGGTCACACCTTCGGTGAGCTAAAGTACACCAAACTAGCCCTGTTCCTAGTGCGCTCAGTGACTGGGTGGTCGTTAGCAGCAGAACGACTGGGTGCAGCTAAGAACCAGGGTGGGCAGGGCTGTTATGCTAGAGGCCCCCACCCAGCGCTGGTGGTCTTCCCTTTGCCTAATAAGCTCAGCTGACAAGGACAGTGTCTGCTGCTGGGAGCATGCCAAGCTGGCTCTGTCCTGCCCAGTTGCCCACTGGAGACACTCCCCCCACCGTCACAGTGACCTCCCCTCTGTGGCTTCTAACAGAGACCCTTTCTCTGCTTCGCGGAGGTGCAGGAGGATGGAGCCTGGGACCCGAGGATAGCAGGCAGGGCCTTCCTGTAAGTCACTATTAGTTTCTCATGGAAATGGCAGAACTGGGCAAATGGGTTCTAAGCCAGGAAGGGAGTCAAGGACTAAGGCTCCATTAGGTCATTGGAAAAGTCATGATGTGTTTTTCTGTGCAAAGATGTGTTGTGACTTCTGACGACCCTAGAGTTTGAACGCTCCGCCCTCTGCGTTTGGCTGTTAGAGGTAAGGTTGGTAGTTAAATGACATGCAGCCACCACCTAAGGCACCGTGACCTCTGCAGTCTGGGCACAAAACATCTCTGCAAAGACCCTGGCTTGGGTGCCTGAGTCTACATGGCGTTTGGGGAAGCTGGACTGGAGCAGGGAGGCTGCGCTGCGGCCTCCTACCCTCGGGCTGACAGTGCAGAAGGTGGGTGCGGCCCTGGATATGCCATGGGGGGAGGGGAGAGCTCATGGGGCAAGGGACCTGCAGAAAAGCCTGCTCCTGCTGAGTGGTCGCCACAGAGAGTGACCAAGATGGTGCATGCCCACAGAGGTTAACATGCGGCGGAGCTGCCTGGGACCCCTGGCCCTGAGCTCCTCACACAGCTCACATCCAGGGGCTCCCTGGACCCTCCCCGACCCATCCTGAAGGTAAATGCTTCGATGCAGGAGACAACAGCATTGAGGGGCTGAAGGGGCCCACGAGGCCACCTCAAGCATGACTGACTGCAAGGCAGGGCTGCATGGCAGAACCCCGCGCCAGGATTCCTAAGGGCCCTTACCCACTTAGGCCATTCCAGAGCATTCTGGTCCATCTCCCACCCACCTGGTGTTCACCTCTGCTCCCTCGTGGGGAGCTGGCCGGCACGGTCTGGCAGATCCAGTGGCAGGCAGCCCAAGGGCTGGTCCTGCCGCCAACACCTGTGTCCCTCCTTCCTCTCTGCGCCTGGTCCTGGGTTATCTGGACTCTCTGCCTTCCTGCCCTGCTCCTCTCCCTGCACCCAAGACGGGGCTGGAGCTGCCCCCAGTTCCAGGGTCTCCTGGGCTGAACTGCCTGAGCTCCTCCCACAGGCGGCAACACCAGCGGCGTCAACAAGGAGGGCACAGACACTGGTACTCGAGGGGCTGGGCGGCCCTCTCCCCACGGGGCCTGGCTCCAGATGTGATCCCCAGGCACGCTCTGACCAGCACGGGCACAACAGGAACACTCACCTCCTTTTCCCTCCATGTGTTGTCTCTATTAAGCAGCCACACCTTACTAGGGACTACTGGTGGGGCCTGAAGTCCAATGTGATCCTAAATCTTTACCACAGGGACTGCTCTCCGAGGAGCCAGGTCCCAAGAACTGTGAGCTCTTAAAATAGGAGCTCACCTGTGCATTAGACCTGGGACCTCAGGGCTGACCTTTCCCAGAAGCCTTCGAGACTGGTCCCCTAGTTGAGGCTCTGAGGCCTTGGCAGCTGGCCTTGCCCCTGTGCTAAGTGGTGCAGGGAGACCAGAGGAGGGGTAGGGACAGGCTCCAGGCGGGCAGGATAGTCAGAGGGGTGGGTTGTAGGGGAGGCCAGTCATCGTCCAGCCCCTGGTCCTCTGCCCGATGTCTGGCATCAACCCCCGGATCTGCTCCACCGGCTCTGCCTCCCAAACCCAGGGAGGAGTTGTCTGGATTCTTGGTAGCTCCCACTTCACCTCCCCACTCCAGCACTGGTCTGGGCTGCTGACTTGCATGAGAAAAAGCAAGCGCCACCCACCTGCTTGCTGCCGACCCCGTTTAGCCTCTTCTGCTACCTCTCCTCTTCCTGGGAGGACATGGGTACCCGAGGGCCCAGCTCCTGGTACCCTGCCTGGAGCCCCAGCCTCACACAGTAGCGTCCCCTCTCCAGGTAATGGTGCTGAGGGCTCTTGGGCACTCTGAGACCTGGGCATGGCCTCAGGACACTTGGTGCTGGCTGCCCGCCTCTGGCCGCTTTTTCAGAACGTCCCTAGTGCTGAGAGGCAGTGGTCACACCTACATGCTGGGGCCTAGGCTGGAGCCGCAGACAGCACCCTTCCCAGGGCAAGCCAGACGGCCTGGTCAGCACAGTCCGTGGGGAGCTGGCTGCCTGCCAGGCTTGTTCCGCCTGCTCATGTGAGCAGAGGCAGGTGCTCGGACGTCTTGGACCTCAGAACTCTCACTGAGAAATGAGGCTACACGTGCCCTGCCCATCATGGGCTTTAGGGTCCCCAGAGTGCTGTCGCCAGGCCTGCGACCTCCTTTGCTCCTCAAGACCTGGAGAGAGGCAGCCTTAAGCCACCTTGCCAGCACATAAAGCCACATTCCTCCACCCCATGCCCCCCAGGCCACCGTCCTGCTTCCTCTCTGATGCCTGGGCTCCCCTGAGGGTCACATGAGGAATACTAGGTGGCCTTTCTAGGCCTTCAGGCTCTGACCTCCATGGTCCTGCGACCCCACACTTGAGATGGCCCACGTGGTCGTCACCTCTGGCCTGAGTGCAGCTGTGCTGGGTAGCATGACCTTGGGCAAGTCAGGGAGCCCCAGTCTCTTCCTCTGAGAAAGGGACTGCACCACCCAAACCCACAGCCACTAAAGGCTGCGTGAGCTATCAGTGCCACAGAAAAGGCTGTGACCTACCCGCGTGACCGTGGCTTTGCTTGGGAGGCCCTGGTCAGCTGTGGCAGCTGGAGGCCAGTGAGCCCACATCGTGGAACGGACTGATGGACAGAGGAAAGAACAGACGAGGAGGCAGACCTGTTTTTTCTGTTCTACAAACTGAGCTCTGTCCAAGAGAGGCCGTCTTCTCTTCTTCCTCTCTTCTCTGCACCCTGGCCCAGGCCAGCCCTGCCACAGGCCTCCCAGGATGCCCAGGCAGCACCAGGGACCAGAGGTACTGGCTGGGGCTTCCTCCAGGCAGGGAGGCCCGAGGCTGGTGCTGTCTCTCTACGCTAGGGCCTCCCCTGCTGCGGAGTCTGTCGCTGTGCTGCTCCTGGGGAGGCTAATCTGCACATGTGGGTGTTTACGGCGAGCAGAGGAGGTTACGGCAAGCATCTCCTCACACAGGGCCATTAGACACTGGCTCTGGGGCCTTCGCTACGAACACACAACAAAGAAACAGATGTGTTCGATGAGAGGTAAAACTTTAAAATGGAACATGTGGGTCACATCTGGCGTGGCGCCCCCTGCACACATATGTGTGCACACACACACACGACACCCAACTGCACATTTGTGGGCACACCCCACGCCACACAGACATATGCCCACACGCACATGCCCACACCCACAGGCCAGCGCGTGCACACACACACACACACACACACACACACACACACACACACACACACACACACACACACACACACACACACACACACACACACACACACACACACACACACACACACACACACACACACACTCACACACCACAGACGTATGCCCCACACAGCCACACACGCCCACACACCAGCACACAGGCAAGACAGCACACGCATACACAGAAGTGCAAGTACGACAAAGGAAGTGGAAGGAAGTGTTACCCATGAGTAGCCGCCGTCGGCCCCGCTTGTCCACATCAGCTACTGACGTGGCCCTGAGCTGAGAGCGCTCAATTGCAGCCTCATCCTTCTCTAGAACACAAGTGGGGACAGACACGGAGCCCTGGTTAGCGAGCGCCCACTCCCCGCAGCCCAGCACGGTCGGCCTCTGGCGGGCCAGCAGGGCGTCCCCGCCGAGGGGCTGATCCCAGGGACCTCCAGGGCAGGGTGTTGAGGGCAAAGCAGAGAGGCAGCGAGGCCAGGCTGGGGTGGGGTGTGCAGAAAAGGCAGGTGGGAGGGCCACAAAGTGACCTGGGACACAGGACCCACGTGCAAATAAGCAGAGGTGGCACGGCTGAGGTCTGAGAGACAGATCTCGTGTGTGAGGGCCACAGAAGCAGACGCCACCACCTAGTGATTGTGGAGAAGCAATTACAGAGCTGACAGCTCAGGCTGGTGAGCAGGCACAGGACAGGGCACAGGACGGGGGACAGGCCGCAAGGTCCGGTGATGGATGTGCTGGGAGAGCAGGCGCCATTGCGAGGATGTGAAATCGTGTCAAACACTGAATGCAAAATGAAGACAAGACACACGGAGAAACAGGAGCACACACGCACGCACACACGCACGCCCAGCGGATCCAATCAGATAGACACAGAAAGACCACGGGGTCGATTAGGGCAGCGCTGGTTGCCTGCTTGTCTATGGAGGACGAGAGCTAAACATTCAAGGGCTCCACCAAGGTGTCAAAGGGGTCAGCTGTGGTAGGAGCGTGCAGAAAAGCAAGGCCCGGGTGGGCCAGGGAGTGTCACCATTGGGGCACTGTGGCATGAAGCTATGCCCAGATGCTTCCTGGCCGGTGAGCTGCTCCGAGTTTCTGTGCTCAGCTGAAAAGTGCAGAGACGTTCGCTCCCAGCGGGCAAAGCCAGATGAGAGGTTTGTCCTGGCCGGGTGTGGACTCGGCAACTGAAGCTGCTGGGCACAGAAAACGGTTTCTGACCGGAGCGGAGGCGGGGGTGGGACTGGGGAGGTTACTTCTGATAGCGGGTCCGAGCAGCTCGTGGGCAGCAGACATTGAGGAATCAAGGAAGGAGTAAGCAGGCGTCGGCGGACGAAGACAAGATGTGTTAGCGGCTGCGCGTCTTGCCCGGCAGCTGTTTGCACTGGCCCAGCGGCCGCACAGCGGCTCCACCGGAGATGCAAACCCTGAGGGAGAGCGTACAGATGTGCAAGGAGGGAGGCCGCTGTGGCCCGGAGAGCCTGGGCCGGACAGCAGAGGGTGAGAGAAGGTGAGAGGGCAGGCACAGGAGGTTCTAGATGGGATCAGGCTGCAATAGAGACACTGGTCTGAGACCAGGTTTGGCTTTTAGTGTTTTGATCATGTGGTTGGCTTGGTTTTTGACTTTTGGCTCTGAAAATAATTAATGAATGTCAGTTATCAGACAAGACAGGCAATCAGGGACCATCACCAGGGAAGCAGAAGGAATGAAATAAAATGAAATAAAAAAATGGCTGTCCGAAAGAAGAGACCACACAGAGAAGGGGGGACCCGCCGCAGGCAGCAGCACCCTGTGATGGCCCCGGGCTGCGGAGGCGATGGCCCTGGGCCCCCACCCATCCCAGGCCTGGGACAGCCCCTGAGACCCCAGGGAGCAGTCACAGGACGGATGTGGCAGCAAACAGCTCCCTGAGCTTCTGCATGTGTATGCCCTGCCCTTTCCTCGAACTCTCCAGAAAGACCTCCTGAGCTGACAGTAGCAAATGGGCTTTGTGTTTATCTTTTTTTTTTTTTTTTAATAACAACCATAACTGATTCTCAATGTTTGCCCACACTGAAGAGAAGGCAGAGGGTGACCTCTGGGCACCAATTTTGAAATTCCTCTCTTTCTCAGTTAAAAAAATTGCTGTTCTTTTTGAGTGGGAGGAAAACACCTACTAGTGCTTATGGCATGCAATAATCACAAGTATTTCATCTTCCCCTCGGAGGTGTGGCCCACGAGAAAGGCGGTGACCGAGACTCCACATGACAGGTGAGGCTTTGGTGGGGGGCTACTGCTGAGAAGAATGGACTTTGGAGAGGGAGTGAGAGCCCGTGAGCTTGGAATGAAAAGCAGTTAAAGACACCCAAACCTCACACGGGATTCACACCCTCCACCTCTCCTGGAGTTTTAGATGATGAAGACTTAAAGGGACTTTCTGCAAAACCCTCTTGATTTTCCAGACCAAGAAAGTGACGGTCCTCGTGCAGATTCAGCGGCCCTGGCATGTCTCTCAGGTAGGGGATGACATGCCTGCACAGCAGGAAGGACAGATGCACACACCTTCCTCTCCCCCCAGACCACCTTCCTGGGACAGGACATGCAGAAAACCCCCGAGGCAGGCACTGCTGTGGACACAAGCAGAGGAGCTTGGTCCAGGGTGGGGTGCAATGTGGGAGGGCAGGATTCTGGGCAGGTCTCCAAGAAAGCTTCTTTGGGGACACTGGCCATCCCCATCACTACTCTGGGGCCTTTCTTTTCTGTTTCCCTTAAACTTCCTTCAGGGAAATCAGGGCTCAGAGGGGTGCTGGCAGGCTTTGGGCTGGGCGTGCTGCCCACTAAGGTGGCGTGAGGCAAGGTGGCGGGCATAGAGGCACCTACTTACCGATGCATGTCCGACCGTCTGAGTGAAGGGCGTACTTCTGGTGGCAGCCACACATGGGGCCTGTGTCCGTGTCCTCACAACTGTGCTGGCAGCCTCCGTTTCCATAGTTACAGGTTACTAGTTAGGCCCAAAGTGTACACATGTGTATAAACAGAATGACAACAAAACGATTAGTTTGTCAGCGTTGAGGGGTTCTTTCAGGAGTATGGGGAGGAACACGGGGACCTGAGGTGGTCAGTGAGGAGGAGACACCTTGCCCTGCATGCCAGCCCCTTGAGGGTCCTGGAACTGCTCGCTCCCTGGAAGTGAACTGAGGTGGGACAGAGAATGGATGTGGCTTTGCACGGGGCAAGGCACAGCTGGTCTCAGCCGGGGGACCCAGACCACGCCTTCCTGCCCAGGTTGCAGGCACTTTAAACCTGCCCGTTTCCATGGGGCGAAGGGCTGTCACCCAGGCATACTTGATAAGCTGTGGGGCAGGGAAGATGGCCAGGCCATGATTCCAGGTGACAGTCACTTCTTTAGTTCTTCCAGATACTTCTTTCCTCTATCTATGTTTTGGGGCATGTGGGAAGTCGTCCCCAGATGGCTGCTTTCTCAGAGTCCCAGTGGCTATCTCTAGCCCCTCAAAGCCTAATCCTTGCAGATTCAGCAATGTCCAAGCAGACAGAACTTATGCAAAGTTTCTTTTAATTGCCAGAGGACACATACGCTTGCCAGAGGGACAGGGAGGGAGGAAGGGGAGGAGGGGAAGAGAGAGAGTGAGAGAAAGAGAGGAAGCAGCCCTTAGTGTGGCACGGTCACACAGCAAATCCTTCTCTATTTCTCCATCCTGTTAGGATTTTGGGGACACAAAGCTGGCCATCTTTTTCAAGTTGCTGGGGCTGGGATTTAAACCATGGTCGACCATGGGGGATCTGGCTTCCTTAAACACTAGGCTATATGGCCCGTACAAATTTATGCAAATTAATGCCATCTGAGGTACAGTTTTGAAAATGATCTAAACAAAACATGCGGTATCCTGGGAGATCTGGTGCCTTTCGACCTAGAATCTCGAGACGCTTCTGATCAGCATCTGGGCTGACAGAGGGAGCTGGCAAGGAGAGTTATGGCCCCCAGTTTACTTGAAAGAGCACACATTCTCACTGTCCATGGCTGGAGGAGAACGGGGCGCTCCGAGCCCTCCAGGGGAGAGGTGCTTAGAGCCCCTGCTTTGCTACGGCCACAAGACCTCTGCATGCCGGGCACCTGTGCGCACTGTACATCAGGGGCCCCGACTTTTCGGGTACTTAACCATTCGTCTGGAATTCTGTCCACACTCTTCATTTACCTAGCAGAACCCAAATGATGATCAATTATGCAAAACTAAAGCCCAGGCCCATCACGGTCAGAGGGGCCCACAATTCCAAATCCCGAGTCTGAGTGGACTGCGTTCAGTCAGGTGGGCCCACTGGCGAGCGACTGCATGCGTTTCCAAGCTGCCTCTGCAGCTGTCCTTCTCCGGCTCTCTTCCTTCCACGACAGAGCCCAGACGGGGCCTATGGATGCACCTGTCCTGAGTGATGGTGGCCCCAGGCTTGGACACATGGGACTTCCCAGCAGGTGAAGAGGTTATACAGAGAAAGTGTGACGGGGACAGGCATCTGCCCAGTGTCCCACGTGCTGTCCTCAGCAGCCAGAGACTCTATGAGCTGCTTCCTTCTCCGCTGGAGGCTGACAACCAGCCCTCAGAAGGTGGGACTTGATTTTTAGGGTGAAATTACAAGGATCTGAAAAATCCGTCAGAGAACAGGATAGGGCTTCCCAGCACACAGCACCCCAGCCCTTCCTTGACCCTTCCTTGGCCCTTCCTCGGCCCTTCCTCAGCCCTTCCTCAGCCGGGCTGTCTTCTCTGGGGTGGAGTTGGCAACCTGGAATCATCCTTGCATGTCTCTGAAACAGCTCGTCTCTGACTGGGAAGAGGCCCAAGGAAGCCTAGGGTTCTAGGGGACTGCAGTTTTGCACAGATCTTGGGTGATGGGGGCAGTTAGGCAGAGCCCGCCTTGGCACCAGGTGTCTGGTGCCTTCTGAGACTGAGCAGGGTCGCACGGCAGGGAGGTCAGAGGTGGAGCTGGAGAGAAGGCAGCTGGAATAATGCAGATGGGCTTCCCAAGCTCAGGGCTCCTTTGGATGTGCTGTGTCCTAAAAGCCTACCCGGGGTCAGAGGTCTATATTCAGGGTCCCTCACTCTCTCCACACAGGCATATGTGCATCTCAGAGCCCTAGGGGCAGAGCCTTCAAGCACCTGAAAAGCCTAGGGCTCTCACACAAGGACATATCTGGACCCTGAGCTTTGGGAAGACAAAGGAGGACAGAGAAAACCTCCTGTGGTCCTGGAGTGAGTCCTGGGCCCCCAATCCAACTCTAGACCTAGAATTTCCTAGACCTGAGTGACCTTGAGGGCCAGAGTGAAAGTCTCATAGCTAACTTACCACTCTGCCTTGCGGGAACAGAGGAGGAACCCAGTCTGGACTGGCTGGGCAGTCACCTGGGCAGCCCCTTTGCAGGAGGCCACACGGCGGTCACTGTTCCTGGACTCCCTCTCGTAGCCTTGACAATGCCCAGCCACCAGCAGGGAGGCTGTGGCAGCTGCTTCCTAGACCAGCAGACATCCCAGGCCAGGGTTCGGCTCCCCTCTGCCCAGGCAGGCATGGGGTGGGGCGGGAAGTCTCAGCTGCTCCGGCAGCTCTGCCTCCTCCTGACCCCTCAGACCAGGCTGGCCCTCAGCTGCTGCGCTCTGAGCAAGCCCCTCTGCGGCACCTGTCCTCGGATCAGGTGGCTCCTAGCTTGGGGCCTGGGGCCTGGCCCCCTTCCACTGAGGAAGTGCTGGCCGAGGCTGTGGACGAGCCTGCTGACTGCAAGTTCTCGTCCTCGGCCTTCCTTGTGAGAAAACTCAGATCATCCAGCAGGAAGGACTGGGACCTGGAAGGAGCCTCTGTCTGCGAGAGTGGTTGGTGGCAGGAGCTTTCTCTGCAGTGAAGGGAAGAAGAGCAGAGGGCCTGGCTGAGCACTTCCCAGTCAAGACTATCCCTGCCTGGTCCTGATTTCTTCTTTAAATGTTTACTCATGATAGAGTGTCTGTTCACATACGTGAGAGCAAGAGAGCGAGAGAGCGAGAGAGCGAGAGGGAGGGGAGCCTGCCTAGGGTCTGGTCATGCTGCGACCCCTTCTCCAGTCCTCCAGCCCAGGCAGCATGGGGCACTCACATGCGTGTCTGGCATGCTTCAGGCTGACCAGGCCTGGGATTCAAACTGTGGTCACTGCCTGAGATCCAGCTTATCTCGGGCAGTGCGTTTCCACTATGTCCTGGAGCCGGCCCTGGCCCACCCTTGCAGACAGCCCACACACTTATCTGCTCTCTTAGAGGCAAGAACCAAGAGCAGAGAGGAGGCTCACCCACACTTTGGACCATTCCTGGGACAGAGGAAACACCTTCGCTCTGGGGAACAGATGCGTCACCAACGGGGCCTGTGGCATGAGCTTTTGGTGACAGAGACTACTGTGTCTGATGCATGTGGTGCCCAGGGCCCTGGTGGCTGCTGGAGGAGAGCACGAGTTGGGAGAGATGAGGTGAGGTGCCAAAGGAGAGTGGGTGGTGACAGAGAACTGCAATGACTCGGGATGATGGCCCAGTCAGGGCCGGCTGTTTTCTTTGCAGAATGACAGGTGGAAGAAAGGCCACTTCTTCACGGCAGCAGTCAGCTCTGTCTCCCTTTCCAGGGCGGGTGAGGACCACTTTCTCTCTCAGGGTTGAAACTGGATTCCTGCCATTTTTCTGCCCAGACACTGGGCGTGGTATAGGGATGTGCTTACAGCAGCCTCCCTAGGTTCTCTGCAGACCCAGGGCAAAGAGACATCAGTCTGAACATCCCTGCTGCCCAGTGAGGAGAGGTCACATCCCACCCACTCCCCAAGCAGCTGTTATTGGGGGTGCGGTGGGGCCACAGCTCCCAGACTAGCCCAGTGTGTCCAGCACGGTCTTCCTCATTCCCCGCTCCACAGTCACGGGGAGCCAGGTGACGTGCAGAGGCTGGCTTGCACTTGAGTCCTGCAGGCAGACCACCAAGCAGGTCCTAGAACGGTGCCTTGGCCAGAGGCCTCATTGAGCCCAGATCTCATTTGCAGTCATATTGGAAATAAGGTCAGCATGGAATGGGACCCTGTTCCAGAACTGTGCTCCTTTCCTCCTTCATTCTAACCGCCCCGTTCCCAGGCACTCCCCGGACCCACTGTATATGCCACACCCGAGCTTGTCGACCTCTGTGCTGGAGAGCTTGGGCTCCGGGCCCTGCCGGAGACGCAGCCCTGCTGCAGGCCACTCAGTAATGCCAAGTCGGGTGGGGTGAGCCTGCAGCCTGGGAGTCACAGCGTCTGCCCACATACCTCCCTCGGGCCCCTTCATGGGCCCCTGCCCTTCTTCCCACCCCATGGGGCTGAGAGCCCTCCCTGGTCAACATCCAGCAGACTGGACAGACCCTCCACAAAGTCACAGCAGGAGACGTGTGGGGATGTGGGACCCATTTGCCTCCATCTACCTACGTGTGCAGTCCTTCTGGTTTTGGGCAAGGTCAAAGCCGGGCCTGCAGTCGCAGGCCACCCCACCTTTGGGCGTCTCCCGGCAGATGTGGGCACAGCCATGGTCTTTGTTCATGCAGTTCATACCCTCTGGGAAGAGAGACAGACAAGAGCAGGTTGGGGACCAGGGAGAGAGAGGGAGAGGGAAAACTTTAAAGTAAAAGAGATGGTCACAGAACGTCATGTTCAAATGCTGTGATCATGGCCATTGCACACACGTGGTGTGTGCACGTATGCACGTGTGCTGTGCTCATGGCCGCTGTGCACACGGTGCGAGGGCACATATGCACGTGTGCTGTGCTCATGGCCGCTGCATATACCATGCATGTGTACATACACACATGTGAACGTGGTCACTGCACATCGCACACATGTACACACACATGTGAACATGCGTACACACATGCACACCACGCATCCACATGGAAATCCCTTGAGAAGAATCCGAGGGGACAGTGCTCAGGTCGCAAGCTGGGCCTTGCTCTGTGTGCTGCACTATACATGACACCTCAGGACTCCGGAGGTGAAGCGCCTAACTGCTTTGAGGGGCCAGGGCCAGGGGCTCCTCAGTCCCGCGTGGCTCTGGGCCAGGCGCTCCCCGGCAGGCCTGACCTCCCCTCACGTTGCCTGCAGTGGCTCCGACTCCCTTCTGTTGACCCCAGTTGCTGTTTACCTTCCTGGTGATTTGTGAGGAGATTCTAGAATTTATGAGGTCAGGGGTCAAGTGAGAAGTCACAGGTCATGAGTCCATCAAGAGGCCAAAGGCAGACGAAGGGAAGAGCTGCTCTGTGTCTGTACCAGGCCCTGCGACCTGACCCCCCCACCCGCAGGGAGCGAAGGGCTGGAGGAGTCAGCCTTAGACGGCCTTGGAGAGGGGCGGTGAACCTGCCAGTGAGCACTCCAGACCCTGTCACTAACGGCCCCTCAGGGCCCAGCCAGCGCAGGCCCAGAGCCCAGGTCTCCACTCACTCCCACTCTTGTGGCTCCCTGGGCGTTGTCGCCCACACTCGTACACACGCCCTGCCTGTTCCCACTCTCCAGGAGAACTTCCTGCTTCCTCTCCTGTCTTCCTCTCCAATCGGTTCTTCAAAGCTGCCACCACGCCAGCCCAATTTCTCACTTAAACTCCACCAATGCTGCAAAGCTTCTCAAACTTGACCTCCAACTCTGCAAGGCCTCCCGACTCCGGGGTCACGCGCCGGTCTCCTCTGGGCCACCACCATGTGTTAATTTCCTGGGCTGTCCCACGGCTGGCCTGAGAGGCGGAGGGTGTAAGCAGATCTGTGCCTTCTTCCTAAGCCGGGAAGAGCCGCAGGGCTCCTGTGTGCTCAGGCGTATGAGTGATGAAGCAAGGGCGACTGAATTGCCATTCCCAGCCGGGGGATCGCACTTGCCAGAAGCTCTGCTAATCACAGCGAGCCATACGCTTGTCCCAGGAAGTGGACGCAGCCCTGAGCAGACCACAGAGCACTGAGTCTGGATGTCACTCAGGTGCCCCTTGCCAAGGACTCACCACCACATGGTCTGTCTCTGGGGAACTCAGACTTCAGTAATGGGCTGAGATGTTACTGATGCTGTTTTGCTGGCAAAGGACGAAGTGAACTGTCAATGGTGGTAACCCACAGCCGACCACACCGAGCGCTATGGTCACAGGAACCCCACGCCCACCTCTACCCAGGGTGCCCAGTTCTCTCCACAGCCATGAAAGAAGGGGACAGGGCCTTGATCTTCCACCTGAAGACTCCAGGTGGCCCCGGTCCTGTCATTAGCCCTCCTCACTTGGGGTTCCACACGGGCTCTGAGGCACTGGCCCTCCTGCCCCACAGCTCCAGGCTCCATAGCACTGTCCCCGCTGCCTATCCCCCAAGCACAAAGGCAGGCTGTGGCTGACTTCCGGGGCTGGCTTCAGGACACTCCGTGTTCGTAAGTTACAGAGCAGCCCAGAGAGCTTTGGTGTTCTCTGTTGTAGCTATCACGTTCACGATTCTGGGAACTAGAGGAGAAAAATTTACATTAACTGATTAAAGCGGACAGATTTAGGGGCCAGTCGGTGGAATGGTGGTTAAAGTGCTGGACTCCCACATGGCCGACCATGGTTTGAGTCTAGGACCTGATGGCTTGCTTTCTCTCTCTTTCTCTCTTTCTGCCTCTGTTTCTCTATGGCCAAATTAAAAAAAATAATAACAACAACAAGGAAAATAAATAATTAAAAAAATGACATATTTATAGATGTATTATGATGTAACTTATGTTACATGGTGACATAAATAACATGTATTTATTTAAAAAAGCGTGTTTTTCAAAATGATGGGAGGGCTGGCCTGAGAGGGGTGCGCTGCCAGCTTCAGTAACAGCCAGGCTTGAGTGAGCAGCTCGGGGTGGGCAGCGTGGCTGAGGTCGGAGTGAGCTGAATCTGCTCGGCCGGAGTGCTCCAGGATCCTCGCCCCCCCCCTCGCTAGTCACCAGAGCATCACAGTCACGTTCTAAGTGACCCCATCCAGGGGTGACCATGGCTGCTGATAATGTGGCTCCTCTGCCCGCGCATTACCTTCGCTGCCACCTGGGGCAGCGCTGGCTCTTGCAGGCCGCGAGCAGACTGGCCTCGGGGCCGCAGAAAGACAGAGGTCTGAGCCGGACCAGTCTCTCAGCCTGTCTTATCCGTCCATCTTACCGAAGGAGAAAACAAGCCCCTGAGGTGCAGAGTGAAGGCCCCAAATGAAACAGTGGGGCCGGGACTGGGCCACTGGACTCCCACTGGACTCCCAGTCCACCCTGGACTCACTTCGGGTGCACTTATGGATCAGGTGGCTACTGGCAGCAAACATTTCTGGGGGCAGTGGGATTAGGAACCTGGCACAGAGCTAGCCAGATACTGTGAACTGCCCACAGACTTAGAGTCTGCTAGGTGCGAGGCCACCTCGGCTGCTGCCTGCCCGTGACGCTCCTGTGAGTCCCTCTGCAAAGCACACACCGCTGGCTCCTCTTCCCATACTGGACGAGCCAAACACGAGGGCGGAGCCCAGGCCCCTTGCACAACAGGCTGTTGTCTCTGTCCACATCTGCCACCCCTCCTGCCTTTGCACTCAGGTCCCTGAGGAGCCGTGTTTTATGCCCTCTTGGGGTGGACCCTTTGCCTGCGTGGCCTTTGCAGCCACCACTGGCTTGCATTCAGGCTGGAGGGATTTGACAGGCCTGGCCCACATCCACAGCATCCTCTGTCCTGCCAGCCTAGGACTTGAGGGACACCTGAGCTTCCCTCTTTCCTGTAGCATGGGCCCAGCACAGGGCTGGGCACAGGCCAGGGCTCAGCGAGCCCTGAAAGAAAATGGCTAGAAGAAAGAGGACGACAAGTGGAGAAACGAGAAGATGGAAAGCAGAGAGGAAGGAGCAAGGAAGGAGAGAGAGATAAAGGCCATTCCATCTCCGAGCAGAACGAACTCACGGTACTGGGGGCCAAGGTAGGAATTCTGAACACGGTACTGTGAGCGCTGTGTCCTTAGCTGTATATCCTCAGCTGTATGACCTCAGCCCTCTGACCTCTGCTGCGTGACCTCTGCAGCATGTCCTCAGCCACATGATCTCAGCCACATGTCCTCAGCCGCATGACCTCCCGTATGTCCTCTGCCGCATGTCCTCAGCCGCATGACCTCCCCGCATGACTCCCCGCCATGTCCTCTGCCGCATATCCTCTGCCACATGACCTCTGCCGCATGACCTCGGCCGTGTGTCCTCGGCCGTGTGTCCTCGGCCATGTGACCTCGGCCATATGACCTCGGCCGTATGTCCTTAGCCATATGTCCTCAGCCGTATGACCTCAACCATATGACCTCAGCCGTATGTCCTTAGCCGTATGACCTTAGCTGTATGTCCTTAGCTGTATGACCTTAGTTGTATGTTCTAGGAAACACAGAACTTCAGTGCCTCATGCAAGAAATTGACAACTGTCCTGGAGACTCTAAGCCCTTCAGTCACCCTGGAACAGTCTCTTTCCCCTCTGCACAGTGTCCAAGATGGCCCTCTCTAGCCCCTCACCCTACAGATGAGGTGATAGTAGCACAGGGACTAGGGACCTGTGGGAGTCCAGCACTTTAATCACTATACCACCTACTGGCACCCCCGTCTTCTCCCGGCAGGGCTGGTCTCAGAGAAGTGACTCATGGCAAGGGAGGCCCCTCCTGCAGGCTGTGGCCCTGGGATGGCCACTGCCAAGCTGTGGAGTCACATGGAGATCTGAAGGCAAAGAGGTGCCTCCTAAGGCATGTGAGTTGTTCAGCCCCAAGTATGCCTATTCTAGGAGAATGACCTATGCGTGACTGAAAGGGACTCTGTGGGTCCCTGCTCCACCCTGCCATGGCCTTGGAGACCGTCCCCAGATCAGCCCAGCAGGGAGACAGCCTCTACCATCAGCAGCCCACATGCTCCTCATTGTCAGGGCCAAGGCCACTCTCACACCAGTCCTGCCCAGAGGCCCAGCCCAGGGCCAGGCACAGAGTAGGTGCCATGAGCCTGGGGTATGAAGGGGCCTGGCACAGCCTGCCTTCAGTTCTCTGTGCTGTCCCACGTCTGCTCCTGAGAGCCATACACCCTGTCGCTCAGCCCAGGTGTTGGGGTGGCCACAAAGACGAGTTCGGTAGACAGCCCTGTCTCCCTTCTGGAGGGGAGATGGAATTTCAGTCATTCCCAGAAATCCTGGTCATCAGAGGTTCAGTGCCTGTCAGGCCAGGCTGCCTGCCAAGTCGAATCTAATCCGATTTGACCCATCCAGATGCAATTACACTCTGCAAACTCGGACTGAGTGTCTCCTTGGTGGCTGGGTCGGGTGGGGGAGCAGTGACGAGCTCCGCTGACTCACCGCCAGGACCGAATCCAGACTTTCTGCACAACCTGTGGCAACTCACTTTGCCTCCGAGCCTCAGTTTCCATTTACGTAGACTGGATAATCACAGGACCTCCCGCAGGTGCCTCCCAGGCGTGCACTAAAAGTGCAGCTCTTCTCTGGGAGTGAAGCAGCTGGCTAAGGGTATGCGCAGGCTGAGCTGAGACTCCATCCCAGGCAGGGGGGCCCCCCCCCCGGCAAGGTTGTTAGTAGG